ATGTGGTTATGACTGCTTCCCTCAGCTAGCCATTCAGAGTGAAGACGCACCGAACAGCAGGACCTAATAAGAATTATAAACCTACCTCAGAAAAAAAGCAATATAAACAACTCCCTTCTTAGAATCATCCACTACCAAGCCTATGGGTTTGTACAGGCACAACTCAGAGATCAATGGGTGCTAGAAAAGGCACAGGCAGAAGACACATCCTTCTCCTTTTAAACAGAAACCGGTTGCTCAGTTCAACAATAATCTGCAATTTCATCTGCAGAAGCTATCATATGAAAATTATGTTTCTGTGTATGCATGTCCGTAAGTAAACGTCAAGAACGAAACAGTAAGTGATGGAGTTTCTTTCCTATATGCATCTGCTTTACTGTGAGAGACTCAAATTTGCTCCTTAGTTTCAGCATTTCTTAGTTCTTGCCTAGTCAAGACAAAAACTGCCTGGGTTAGCTAGCACGTTTCTCCCACAAGACCAATAAACACTTTCTTCTTACTGATCTGTCTTATGATTCTTTCATGAGTTTGCTCCATCCAGATGAAATGTTCCAATGTTTTCCCCAGTGGAAATACTGTCTCACTCAAAACTGTAGAAATATCATTTCACCCAAATTATCATGATCATCACAATAATCCCTAGAGCCTTACACAACAGTAGATAAATGTTATACTGAAATAGCATCCTGATCTAATATCAATTCCACCCCTTTGGCTCTGGGGGGTACAACAGGCCAGTATGCTTGAGCCTGACTCTTCTTCAGGAATAATCCCTTGATTTTACTGGAAACAAAGTCAGAGCGTCACATGCAAAGGCAGAATACCCAGTGAAATTCAAGGAATAGCACAGACTTTCCTCTTTTAATACAGCTTCAATCATCAGATAATGCACCTTCTGGACCTATGTAGTGCAGGATGCTGACAAGTAGAAAGACAGGGAAATAACAAACCATTTTGAGATTGTAAATAACTGGACATAATGTTGTTTACAACAAAATAATGACACCAATCTTCTAAGAACACTGTATGCTGAAGAGAAGCACACTTTATTTACAGATCTACAGATTACCTCGTCACCTCATTTTTTTTTATTTCTTTTTTCAAATAGTCAACATAGAAGCTAAACAGATGTGCTTAATTTGCTCAGAAGCCATACTGCTGGACAAGAGTAGCACTTGTAGCATTCCCAGAGCAATAAACAGCTGCAACAAAACAGAACCTGCTGGTACACAAAGCAACCTAATTCTACTACTCTTCTGCAGAACATTGTATCAAATAACTTTTGCTAGAAATGTTGCAAAATCTGAACATACCAGAGGCGGCATGAAAAAAGCAACAAATACCTGAGAATTCTTTGCGATGTGATAGAGTGCAGAGTCAATAGGCAGCTGCTGACTAGTGACAGTTCCCAAGTACTCAGAACACACCAACTACACAAGGCAATCTTCTCTAACTGTAGACAAGTCCACTGAAACCAGCCTGTTAACACAGGAACAGTATTTGGCAACTCCAGCTGAGAGCGCAATGCATCGAAAACTTAATAATATTATTTACATTTAGGCAAGTCAGGATGATGGCCACCTTCATCACTTCAATTTCTCCCCGTTTTAGCTCCAGATACTAACTCATCTCTGCATCACCTAACGAATCCCTTTGCAACATTCAGGAATAAGAAAGGGGCTTCACATTAAAACAAGTTCACATCTTTTAAAAGCTCTCAAAGCAAGTTCAGCATACTTTACCCTTTCTTTATACATCAGATGGTTGCGCGTTGCAAAATCTGACTTTCATCCCTGATAGCATGAGCGAGCTCGTCAACTTCACCCACAGAAGAACAGGCAGCCCTCCTCTCTGAAGGGAAGAATTATCACATGGAATTCCTCATCAGTGCAAACAACTTAATTCTCAATAGTTGATTACTCTCTTTGGAGACAAAGCAACAGCATAAAATAGCATTTTGAAAAGCATTTGAGCAACACTTTTCATCACAGAATCAACCACAAAGTACAAGACTCACAGGAAAAAGAAAATATGCCTGAACATAGCAGTGAACCAATTTTTGAAGTCTTCACAAGAGATTTATAAAAGTGCTACAGACATCTTAAGTCTCACAGTCTGCCCTCCTTTCCCTCTCTCCTCCCGAATTCAATCCTTCCCTTCTCCCCAAAAAGCTCCTTCAAGTTTTCCAAGATTTCTTTCTATTAACTGAGAAACAGATTTGAAGAGTAAGTTATTCAAGACATGGCTTGCAGGACTTCTCAAAACCAAGGAAAAGATATTCAACCAAATCAAGAGACAAAGAATCACAAGGTCACATTACATTCCTCTGATTTTCTACTACTTATGCTTCAAAATAAGCGATGTGTAACAGTAATATAAGAAATAACAGTTATCACTGTAGGAAGAAAAAAGGGAAGATACCAATACTACACTAGAGTTGTAATAGTAATGATAAGTAAAAGATTGGATGAATATTTTCAAAGAAGCAACTGTGATGGGTATGGCTGCTAACAGCAGTGTTACACAGTATTTGGTGTTTCCAACAAAGGCAGGGAAATCCACTTTTATTCCAGCATACTTGACTTGGAATACAGCACAGCCACCAGAGCACTCTGTTGGCATGAAAAAGCAGAAAGTTAAACTGCCCCACTTACTTGTACTCTCACAACTGCCCAAAATAATTTCGAGTTATGTATTACTGTACTAATTCCCATTCAGGCAGCCTAAACTCTAGCTTGTTAAAGAAAAATGTAACAGATTACGCATTTAAAAAAGCTTCTTTCATCCCCATCACTGACAAGAAACCAAGCTGACAGCAAGTCATTTTTAAACAAAACACAATCTATTGGACCCCTTAACATACAGCTCACATTTAGTCAATTTTGCATGCTTAAACTCATGCACATCTCTACCTGAGCAATTAGCCTGTCAGACCTTTCTCCTAGATGCATGGCACAACACATCGATTTGGGAGATCAATGCAACGAAGCTCAGGTTTCCCTGCCAAGAGCAGAGTGCCTTACGAGGTAGGCAGAGGGAGGAAGAACAGCAGCTGGATGGCATTTGATGCATCCCTAAGAGACTGGGAAGGACCCCAGTCAGTGTCTTACGCAGAGGAGGCAGCTGTTTCTCCTCCCCTCCAGCCAAACACAAAGGCTTTGTGTCAGGGTTTAACAGAGCAGGAGTGGCACAACACAAAACACTGAGAAACACAGAAACTGCACGTTTCCTGTTACTGAGCATCAATTCATTCCCACTAGATAAACGAGTTTCAGCCGAAATGGAAAACACAGGAGTATATTAACACACTATATAGCACAAAGTCACAAGCTAAGCAAGTGTTTAACCTTAGGTATCCATACACAGAGAATCAGCAGAAGCTTGTCAGTTAGAAATCAGTTTCTAACTGGGAAAACATCACACATCCTTCTCTTTTAATTACACTCTAAAATCTTTCTTGATTTAATCAGTTACTCTGGAAAAACCTCTCTGGAATTTGTGATGTCAGAGATAAGAGAAACTGCCGCATGCAGAAGTAGTGCCATGACCACACCAAGCCCGATCAGCATCTCGATGCTCCATCCTCACACACAGCTCTTCTCATTCTAACCCCTCACACTTCCAAAGTAACACATCTAAAACGATGCTGGATTTCAAGAGCATAACAGTACATCAAAATACAGCGAAGAAGAACAAAGTATTTGACAGAGAGAATCAAATCCATCTTTGCATTCTTATAACTGCAGTATCTTCATTTTCAAAACAACTTTTCACAGATGAGGAAATGCATTACTGCAGTCAGATTTTCCTACAGACAAAATGAAAGTCAACGAGCACACTTCTCATTTATACATTCAGGAAAGTTTTAATACTTTGTAAACATAGTTCACGCTGTAAAGCAGAGGGATCATCACGAAGAAGTATTCCGTGACATTAACACAGAAGAGAAGCGGTAGATACATTTGTGCCATACCGTTAAGAGGCACCCCAAACATTTACAAAACTAAACAAGCAGTGAAGCAGGCTTTCATCTTTTGTTTGCTCAGATACAGCAGCTGAAACCATCTGACATGCACAGAGGCATGGCATTAACTATGGAAAATATATAAGAACTCTCGGTGGTGGTGGTTTTGTTCCTCCAGAACCACAGCATGGAAACTAATTCTACACTTTAAGGCCAACACGATTCCAAACTAAGAGTACGTTTTGTCTGGGGGTTCTCAACCTTCCCATCAATACACAGAACTGTTCTGAACAGTTCACCTGAAATTCAACTGGTTCTGCACACTCAGCCAAAAAGAGCTATTACGAGCTATTTTATACCCATTTTCCACAGTCCTTTCCATATTAATAATGACTAGTGTCGGTGCTCCCCAAAAGGCCGCGCTCAGAAGCGGCACGGGGCTCTGCTTCGCCCCCCCCACCCCCATCCCGCACTGACATTACCCGCTTACCGGCCCCGCTCCGATCTTTGTCCTCTCCGCCCCTGCTCCGGCGCCCTACCCAGGGATGCGGCCACAGGCCCGGGGATCCCGGCAGCCTTGGGAGCGAGGCATTCCCCTCTCCCTTCCTCCAGGAGAAGAACACACACCGACGCTCTCCTAAACGCCGTCCCTACGCAGCCCGTATGTTTACTATTCCCCGTAGCGAGCACGCCCGCGGCCTAGCCAGGCGGAGCCGCGTTCACGTACCGATGCCGCCGCTAATGGCTGCGAGACTCGGGGCGGCAGACTGCCGGCCGGCCGGACCGCACCGCGCCCTGCCGCCCGCCACAACGCGGGAACGGCGGTGCGGCTGCACGGGGCCGTGAGCCCGCCCCGCGGCGCCGCTCTCCTTGCGGCAAGCGAGAGGGAGGGACGGAGCGCCCGTAAATCCCAGCCCCGGGGGGAGGCCGGGAACCGCCGGGTCCGCTCCCCGACCTCCAGCTCGCCCCCCGAGCCGCGACCCCCGCGCGGCCCTCAGCCCCGAGCCGGGCGCGAGGCGGCGCCGCGTCTCCTCACCTGGAACGGAGCCGAGGCGGCGGCGGTTCCTCGGGGCGCCGCGTCCCCGCGGGTCCCTGCGGAGCGCGGCGCCGCCCCCGCCGCGGTGACGGCCTGCGGGCAGCGGAGCCGAGCGGGGCGGGGGGAGGCTAGAGAGGAGGCCCCCGGCCCGGCCTCCGCCCCGTGGCGTGCGGCGCGGTCTCTATAGCGACTGCGGAGCCGGGCGGGAGCCGGCCCGCCCGCGGGGAGGGGTAACTGCCGCGCGCGGCGCCGATGGCCGCTCGGAGGGTTACGGGCGGCCCGCGGCTCCCCCCCCAGGCGTTAACCCGCGAGCCGCCGCCGCCATCCCTGCGGCAGCCCCGCTCCGAGCGCCGCCACGCCGCTGCCGCCGCCGCGGTCGCCCTTCCCCTGCCGCGGCGCCACCGAGTCCGCCGCGCTCCGGCACCCGCCCGCCGCCATGCTTCCGGAGCGCCGATTGGGCGGCCGCGGAGCTTTCTGCCAGCCGATTGGCTCTCGGCCGGGTCAGTCACGGAAGCGGAGGCGGGCACACCTGAGGCGGCGCTGAGCCCCGGGTTGGTTGAGATGGCCGGAGCCCCGCTAGCCGCCCGCGCGCAGCCTCGGGGCCTCGGGGCCCTCTGGGCAACGCGGTCCCCGGGCTGGGCCGCCGCCGAAGCCGTTACTCGCCGCCGTTCTGAGGGAGCGACGGGCAGCGGCGCGACGGAGATCTGCGCCGCTCCGCGCCGCAGCTGTGCGGGGGCCGCGTTTCCCCGCTGCAGTACCGAGCTCCGCCTCGCGGCGGCGCGGGGCCGGCCGGACCCGGGTGTTGCCGGGGGTGCCCGAGGCTGAGGCGGGAGGGGATCCGTCCCCGCCAAAAGCAGGAGCCGCCCGCCTCGAGCAGCCGGGCTTGCACCCCCGGCTACGCGCTGAGGCGGCGGGAAGGCACTGGCAGCTCGGCCACCGGCCGGCGTGCTCGGTGAACGGTTCGGCTCCAGAGCGTGACTCTTCCTCGGAGGCGAGAAGCTCCAGACCTCTGAACGCCGTCGGTACGCGTGTGCACCACGTAACGGCTGGCTGCACGCGTCCGTAGGCCGCAGCCGAAGACCCGTGTCGTTGGGAGGACAGAGCTGGCCTGCACCCAGCAGCCTGTGTGAAGCGGGTGACACGCTACAGTCTTACCTTCACGTGAAGTTTTCTTCGAAGAGAGGAAAAAAAGGGTTTATGTTTCCCTTGCGCCATGCCGTGAAGATGATGACAGAGAGCATAATTGAGGCTCCCTTCATTCACTGCAAGGAGAGCTTAGCCAGGGAGTAGGATTAGAAAGCAGCGTCTCCTACTGCTGCTTTAAGTGTAAGCAGGATCTTAGCGCTCCCACTGCGCACCCGTGAGCCCCTAGCAGGGGAGCTGTGGCCCCAACCTGACAGCAAAGCCGAACTGCCCTTACCGTTGCTCAGAGTCAGCTTCAGGCAGGTGTTTCTTTGTTCAGAGAGAACCAGCTTGAGCAGTGGTACACCAGCAGTAGCCACGTGCGTAGAGGTGATGAGGATTTATTCATATATATACATACATATATATATGTATATGCACATAATGTGTGTCCTTGCAAATGTTACTGGCACTTGAGATCACAGCTGCAGCTCATGCTGGTTCTGAGCTACAGTTCTTGAAGACTTAATAGACCTAACCCTTTGGCTAGGCCCCAGCTCTTTGCGTACAGTGTTCTGGGTCTAAATTTTCAATGAAAAAAGTTTCTAGATTTTCTGGATACCGAGTTCATGTTCAATGTGTACATTCTCTCTTTTAACTGTTGAAATAGTAAAGTTAGAAGGTACTAATGTTCTTATCCATTGCTCAGCTGCTAAACATTATCACATAGGGAGCTCATTCCCCATGCCTTACTGTTCCCTAATTAACTCAGATGCCTACAGTGTACAGTTCTTCAGGAAAATATTTTAAATTCAGTTAAACAGAAGGGAAAGGCCTTAACAAACTCATCTGTCTGCTTTGTCTGTTTGTCTGTTTATCACTGCTAATCCAAGGGGCATAGTTTTCCTCATCAGTTTGTAACTTCACAAGTTAATTCACAGTTCTAATATAACCACATTGTCATGCACAATATCACAAATATCCCACCATCAGCACACGTCTTCTTCGCATGTGCACTGCAAGCTGTAGACCAAACTTTTTCTTTGTCATCAGTTAGCTTTCAAGTTCTAGCAATGTGTTGTGTCACCTGTTTTCAATTTCCTATAAAATCTTCTTAAGTAGACAAAACCTGCAGTTCAGATAAAAATCAAGCAGGGAAAAATGAACTAAAACTGAGTCTTCTCAACAGGAAAATCTATTTCCACTTAAGTGCAGGAGGCCTTTACAAAAGGAACACAATCTTGAATTTACTGTTCCATAATATGTACTAAAGGGGTTCTTGAAGTTCTACTGTTACATTGTCAGTTCTAATTGGCTATTTCAGTGTAAAGGTATGCAACTTTTTGCAGTTTAACTCCAACCTTGTTCTTTCCAACCCACCCTTGTATTATGTTGTTGTACCAGGCTTTGAATGGTATCTGATATTCTGCAACATCCCTTTAACAATAATTTTGGAAGCTGGGGGACTAAAAGAGGAACTGACAGTAAAGAGTGTATCCAAATAGGATCTGTTATTGCTCCTCTAAGAGACAGACTAGAGGATGAGGTATGTGCATAACCAGTCTGACCCCACAGGGTACCTCATCTGTTCTGATGCAACTGTACTTTTGTATGGGAGTTTGTCGTGCAGTCTTTGAATCAATATATATGAGCAGAGAGCCACCTCTGTACCTGCACAGAATAATAATGCGTGTCCTAGACCCTCATATAAAAGAAAGCTCTTAAAAACACACTCAAGCGCAGTAACTTAACAGAGATAAACATTTAGCTCTGATGTAGCTGTGAATTCATCTGGTCATTTTTGTATACTGGTACTTATGTAGAAGGAAAAGAGGAAGTAAAGGCTTCAAGTTGTTGCAGATCTTAGAGTCTATTTCTACTATGAATACTCTTTGGAAGGTAAATTCTCACATGTACAATTTATCTCTGTCTGTGCCTGTAAAAAGTATACCTACATATTTATCTTTAAAACTATTACATCACTTCCATTATTTCCAAGAAACACACTGAAATTAAGTTAAGGTTTGTATCATAAATCATGCTAAAAATATCACTTTTATAGATAAATGGTCAAAATCAGAGGAAGGGGCAGCTCATGATTTGCAGAGTTTCTGAAACTCCTGAGTTTCAGATACTTCTGAGAGAATTTCACTTTGGGTTGGAGAAGAACAAGTTCTAGAAAGAACTGTCTGCTGGTTTAGATGTCCAGACAATTATATCAGCAGACAGTCTGTTGATTACAAAACAGGGAAAAATTACTTAGGAAGTCTTTCCTATTTAATTGTTGCAAAACACTGTGAATGGACACCACTGCATTGTTTTGAAGATTTTTAAATGTCTCAGATGGTCAGAAGAGCAAAGTCAGTCAGTAAAACACACTGTGTTTTGTCACAGATCAATCCAAAATATCTTTTTGTCTCCTTGCGATCTATAGCCAAGTGCTGCAGACCAGAACTCCAAAGCTAGAAAGTAGGAGGATTACTGTCAAATTATTCCTAATTCCAAAGGCACACCTGACAAAACTTTATTATAACTGATTAGTCACTATGCAAAGCAAACAAATATAGCATTTTTGTTGTGCTGGTAGGAAAACTGAGCTCCTACTGTGTGTTTTTTTTTCATAGAGTGTGATTTCTAGACACAGACTGTCAGTAAAACATTAAGTCACCACTGAAGGAACAGAGGGATCTTGGATCTTTTTCATAAGAACACAGAAGAGCAGTGTCCAGTTCCTGTTTTTTTCCTACTCAGCAGCTTCAGAATCATTCCTTTTTTTGTAAACATCTCTTCACTGAACCTTTTTAAAAGAATACCAACTATCCAACAAGATGTCCTGAGTAATGTTGTTTAATTCCAGTATTATCTAGAGAGTGAGAAATGACATCAGCATCAATTTTATAAAGCGAGAACAGGGAGGATTCATGGTTAGTACAGGAGGCCCAGTATTTTTGAAGAGAAATGTAAAACTGTATGTCTGAATATTTTGCTAGAAAACAAAGGGTTTATTGGCACTGTAGTGCACCAAAAGATGCTATGAGTTACAGAATTGAAAAAGGAAATTTTACCTCATTATGTAAAGGGAATTTTGTTTTAAGCCCTCATAACACACGTATAATTCCATTTTGCAGAAAGCTTCCTGAGGGCTGGCTTGCTGCATTATCTAGGAGTGAAGGTAAAAAACAAAAATTGCTATATGGTCTCATTACGAATAAAGCTGTAAAAATTCTGGTCTTCAAAAAATAATTATAGCCAAGATGGAAGGAGTTTTAGATAACCAACCTAAAATACAGGTTCACTTTCTGGCTTTACCATAGACTGCCAGCCTGTTTCCAAGGTGAACACACCACTTCTGTACCTTAGTTTTCCATTTGTAATGACTCACTGTGAGTCTGAAGTGGATGATTCAGAGGTTATGGACAGTGCAGCTACAATGGACTGAAATCAGAGCCAGCTTCATAGATACCTATTTGGCATTTCCTGGAACATGCATGAGCCCCAAAGATTACCAATTAAAGAGCAATGCAGTCCACGCAAGACTGCTGTGATTTCCCATTTGCCTGAAAATGGCTTCTGCATCCACATAGCTGTGAACTTTAAACATCTTAAAGTTAAAATTACAGTATTTCTTTCCTGGTTCATTTCATCTGTGAAGCTTTTCAGGCAGTGAAATAAGTTAAAAATATGATAAATTTGACTGTGTTCACAGTAAGCTTTGTGGCATTCTAGTGTACAAAGTGGGTTATTTCAAACCGCCATCTATCCTCATTGCCTCTTGCCATGAGTTTTGACATTATCTCAGCCATCTCTGCAATTCTGTAAGATTTTCCACTGTTATGTAATTTAGATCCCATTGTCTAACTGCAATAATCATAGGCACATCTAAATACCGCTATACTTCCTAAAAGTTCAGAAACATAACTGAGAGATGAATATTCAGTTGCTTTTATTTGCCCAAGAACTTACACCTATGAGCATCTACCAGGTCATT